GCTGACCAGCTAAGGTTAGGAGCAAAGCCTACAGGTAGAAATAGTGGTAAACTGCCATGCATAGGCCCTTCAAAAAGGGCAGCTTCTCCTCTGCTCCAGCTGAGGGTTGAAGTCCCCTGAAAAGGAAGCCTAGTGTTACCAGGGGCAGAAGGTATTTTTGGCTTTTGTCAGCACATGTAGGCAGTCACTTCTGCCTCCATAAGGCTGGCCCAACTGAATCCCACAACAAAGTTCCAATTTTTCCAAAGATGCAAGTCATTCCCACTTTTATGTAGAAGTCTCCAGATTTTTAAAGCCAGTATGAAAAAAAAAAAAGAAAGACCATTGTCAGGCCAGTCTTGACAGGTCTATGGGTCAAACCCAGAATGAGGGCCACCGATTTACCACCTCTGCAGGGAACTCAGTTGGACTGACACAGGGAGCTGTCCAGCTGTTCCTCTGAACGGCAGGGTCTTGGACTGGAGGCAGCAGATCTGTGCTTGAGTGCCAGCTTTGCCACTTACTGTGCTCTGTGACTTTGGGCAGGATGCTGTCTGTCTCTGAACTTATTGTCAACTCTATATAATGAGAATGCTAGTACCTACTTCTTAGGGTTGTTTGAGGATTCAATGAAGTAATGTATGTAGAGTTTTCAGTAAACAGTAGGTAAATGCTCCTGCCCTGCTCTTCCAACCTGGGCTGATGGTTCTCCCCAGGCTGCTCAGACCCGACTCTATAGGCCTCAGGTCTCTGGCCTGGGTTCCACACAGGAAACTTCAGGGCGTTGTAGTGGTCAGAGAGGAGTGGTACTGGCAGACACCAGTATTTGGCCAGTTGCTGCGCAGGCTGCAGGGAACTGATTATCTGAGGACCGTCTTGGTCATATCCCGAGGGCCTCTGGTGGATGGCTACGATCTGTGAGGATGCGGACCTAGGGAGGGAAGGGGCAGAAGGTATTTTTGGCTTCTGTCAGCACATGTAGGCAGTCCCTTCTGCCTCGATAAGGCTGGCCCGACTGAATCCCACAACATTCAGAAGGGGCTTCTGAATCACCAAAAACGGAATCAGCTTTGCTGAGGGGAATTCCTGGGTGGCAGATTCAGAACCATAAGACAGAAGAGGAAGAGGAAGCGGGAAGCACCCAGAGCTAGGATCGGAATCGGGGACCCACAGACTATCGACGTCATTGAACTTTACAGCCTATGGGTGTAGAATGTGGCCACATCCAATTGGTCTGGGAATATGGAGAGGTGGCCAAAATACTACCAAATAGACAGGGCTATCCAATAGAGACATAATGTGAACCTAATGTATAATTAAAAATTTTCTAGGAGCCATAAAATTAATTTATTAACCTTGTAAAGTTAATTTCATAAAAAATGAAATTAAAAAAATTTGAATTTAATATTTTAATAAAATATTTCATTCAACCTAATATATAAAAAATATTATCCTTTCAACATATAATCAGTATAAAAATGATTCTTTTTTTTGTGTTTCGTTTTTAAAATCTGGTGTGAGTTTTATACTTACCGCCCAACTCAATGGACTAACCATATTTCAGTTGTTCAGTAGCCACACATAGCAAGTAGCTACTGTATTGTACATGGCAGATATAGACCATTTCCATCATTACAGAAAGTTCTGTTGGGAAGTGTTGCTCTAAGCCACTAGAACCTATGGCCTCTGAAGCTGAAATGGACCTTACAGATCATGAAGCTCAAGAGCCATTAATTCAAATGCCTTCAGAGGCCAGGAAGGTGATGTAATAAGGAGTGGTGGGGATTGTGGCAAATGAGGGAGTCCACTGTCCAAATTAAGTTCTATGTATGTTTGTAAAGTGCCCAGTAAACAATAGATAAATGCTTCTGCTCTGCCCCCTCCAACACGGGCTGATGGCTCCCCCCAAACTGCTCAGACACAACTGTATAGCCTACTAATCAATTCCAAACAATTATTATGAGGTAGCAATGAAGATCCCATAGTGCCACATCTTCTGATATTTCTTTTCCAACTGAAGCATAAACCCAAGCTAATGTGAAATCTCCTGAATTAAAAATATTAGCAATGAATTAATAGTTTAAAACTCATGGAAGGGGACAAAAGAAACCTGACTCTAGGCCGAATGAAGCCCTGGGGACCACTGAATTGCAAGCTCTGATTTGGTCTAAACTTTGCAGGCCACGTCTTCTCAGTTGGCCCCTGCAGACCCAGTCTTTTCTCCCTGCCCTGCGCCTCAAGAGGTGTAACTGCACCTTTGAATGGGCTGCATCAAAGGACCCCCTTACCTTCTGGCTTCTATTGGTGTGATGGTGAGTTTTACATGTCAACTTGGCTCGGCTGCAGTATCCAGATATTTGGTCAAACGTTATTGTAGAAGTTTCTGTGAGTGTGTTTTTGGAAGAAATTTATGTTGAGATCAATGGAGTTTGAGTAAAGCAAAGTGCTCTCCATAATGCAGTGGTCCTTATCTAGTCAGTTGAAGGTCTGCATAGAACAAAAGCCTGACTTCCCCTGAGCAAGAAGGAATTCTGCCAGCTGACTGCTGTTTGACTCATTCTTGAGTATACACGCGTATCTACACACGCTGTTGCCTCTGCTTCTCGAGAGAACCCCCACCAGTGTGCTTGGATTTGCCCACTGGGAAGCCCCTCCCAGGAGAGCTGAGGGAGGAAGGAGACAAAGACCCAGGGCAGCTCCGTCCCTACAGAGCCATCAGGGGTTGGATGTATCCCTGGACTAAAGGTGCCAACTGCAGGGGGGCCTCTGCCTCCTTCAAACCTGGGGCTGGGAGGTGCTTCTCCATGTCTAGCCTTCCTCCCCCCACCAGGCCTGCACTTCCCCTTGGGGTTTCCTTACCCTCTCTCCACACTAGGTAACTAGGTAGACCCTTTACTCAACTCTCCTCAGGTAAGCTAGTGTATGCGCTTACTGTCTCCCTTTGAGACCGAGACTTCACACCGTCATCTTTTACAAAACAGCAGAGGATCTGCTTTAGGCAGCACAGTGTGTTGGGGTAGAGCCAGAAGTTCAGCGTGGCTACTGAGCCCCTTGTTCAGTGATTTCTTTTCATCTTTTTTTCCATTTGCCACCAGCCCTTCCAACCCTGTGCCCACTTAGCTCTATGTCATACTTTAGGTGTGTGCACTGGGATACGTATGTGTCCATCCTATCACTCTGTGTGCCTATCGTTTATTGCTTCTGCGTGTTGCTGTTTCCCACAGTGTGCTTCCTCCGTGTTTTACTTAATCACCCACTTCCCCAGATCGTGGTCATATAGGTGGCCTCCAGCTCTTTGGTACCTCAAACAACAGTGGCACAAATATACTTCTCCACTGTCTTCACAGGTAATGTTGATAATAAACTTCTCTCATTACTGCTGGGTTGCTAGGCAGGATGATCAGAACGGTTCATAGCCTCACCCACAGAGCGTGGAGGTTTTTGTGTCCTCTCGTTTCACCATCATCTATTGTCCACTTCTCTAGTTTTTGCCAGTCTGACTGGTGTATTGTTGAGTCTTGGTTTAGCTTGCATCGATCTGATTACATGTGAATCTGAGCATCTCTTTGTAAAGCTGCTGGCCATTTAGATATCCCTTTCCAGAATGGCTTAGTCATATCGTTCACTCATTTTTCTCTTGGGTGTCATGGTAGAAATCCTCCAAAGATGGTGGCCAACATGCTATCTTCTCTGTAAGTGGGTGCTGCTCCTCCCATCAAGGAGTGGAATCTATTTCCCTCCCCTTAAACCAGGCCAACCTGTGACCAACACAACGTGGCAGGACTGACCCCCTGGGCCCCCTGTAACTTCTGCTTTTGCCTTCCAACAAGTCCAGTGCTGTGCCCAGAGGCCCATGGAGGCTCCTTGGCCATCATGGACATTCAGGCTCCAGCCAAACTCCCAGCTGAGTGGCCCCAGCCACAGCATGGAGACAAAACCATCCTGCAGAGCTCTGCTCAAATGCAGAAACATGAGCCAATAAGATGCTGTTTTAAGGCCCTGAGTTTTGGGGGGTTTGTTGTGCAGCCATAGGTAACTGAAACAGGTGTTTCGGTTTTGTCCATCCTGACTTCCACGTGCTTTTCATGTATCCCATACCAGTCCTTGGTATATTTCCAATGACTCTGCACCACCCTGCCACTCCCTTCCTCCCGTACTGCCCTGAGTATATGGCTCCTTCTGGTCTCAGCCCAATGCCACCTCCTCAGAGAAGTCCTCCCTGATCACTCTGGCTAAAGTAGCTTCTGAGTCAGTTTGCCACATAGGCCAATTCCATTTTCTCCTTAGCCTGCATCATGACCCAGAGTAATTTTATTTATTTATTTACCTGCCTACTGCCTGTGTCCTTGGCTAGAACACAAGTTCCATGTGCATAGGGACAGTGAATCAACACATAATCAGGTTCTAAATAAATGTGGTTGGATAAATAGAAGAATAAATGAGCAAAGAAACTGACCAAATGTACCCCACATCAGAGGGTGAGATTGCTTTCTCAAAATTCTGGTATAGCTTTGTTTATCAAATATTTACTGAGCACCTACTATGTGCCAGAAATTGTTCTAGGTACTGGAGCTATAGGACTGAACAAAATAAAGTTTGTATTCTTGTAAGTACATATTCTAGAAGGAGAAAAAGTTAACAAATCAGAAAAATAAAGATAATGCCTTGACTAAATACTAAGAAGAAAAATACAGTAGTGTAAGGAAATAGAGAACTTCTGAGGATGATTATTTTAGACCAGACATTCAGGGAAGCTTCTCTGGGTATGTGACATTTGAGCAGAGATAAGAATAAAGTGAGGAAATAAGGAAATATTGGGGAGCAAAGTGAGCACAGCAGGCCAGGAGAACAGCACATGCAAAGGCCCTGAGGCAGGAGGGTTGAGGGTGTGGCTGAAGTGGATGTACAGGGGAGATGGGTAAGGAAGTGAAGTCGGGGAGCCAATTCTATAGAACCCCCAGCTCAGGAATTTTGGGCTTTCAAGATCTTTTATGTCGAGAAAGGCAAATGATCTCCAGGCCTAGAATGATTAACATTCTTTATTTTACAGCATGTTCAATCAGAAGTATAGGAAATCAGGATTCCTCTGGTTACAAGTCCCATGGGTCTCTCTGTGAATGAACTTCCCCCTCCCCTGTCCCACAGGAGTGCCCAGCACCCCCATGGGCTGTAACTGTGACTCAATACTGACGTACTCACAGGGGAAGGAAGCAGAGCTCAGCCTGCAACTCAGGGGCCTCCTCCTGCTCACATCCGTGACTCACTTGTGCTGCACTGAGGGTGAGTTCAGCCTCTGGGTGCTGCCTTCCTTGCCCACGCTGCTCTGCATGGGGAACCTCATCCCTTAGAGACACAGGAAGGGGTGATGGCTGCCAGGAGCCTCGGCTGGAGCCTTTCCTCCTGCTGGGCTAATGCTGGGCCCCTCATCCCTCAGGCACTTCCTGCATGCCTGACAGCCCAGTACTGGGCTGTTCACTGGGGAGGCCCAGATGCTTCTGCGGGAAACGAGGGAACAAATCCTCTAGCACAGCCCCATAAGCTGCTGGCTCAGGGCATTCCCAGTTTCCCTGTCTGCAGAAAAGGATTATGATTTTTTTGCCTGCTTGAGACATTTTACCCTGGTCTTTTATAAGGCCTCAGTTTATCTTTTGACTTTTCTCTCACCTCTGAAAGATGTGGCCTTTGCTGATCAAACATGCTTACCACTTGGGGTAGGGGTAGGGAGGTAAAGAGCAGCTGCTGGAGCAAGAAGTACCGGCAGCTGCCAAGGCCCCGGGGGCCCTCCCTGGGGCAGGAGGTTCCTGGCTGGTGGGCTATGCGTCACCTGTGAAGGCACAGGGCCCAGGACTATGGCAGACCTGAATCAGATTAAATAGGAAAATCCTAAATAGCTTGGGTAGAGATATTAGCTGGTGTTTCTAGATCTCCCCTTGGTGTGCTTGGGGAGCAGCAAGGAGACTGCAGTTTCCATGTTCGCAGGGAGTCATCTGCCCCTCTCCCTGCCTCCAGGGACTGAAAATAACTCTGGGGGCTGGGTATCAACAGGGGTAATATTCCCACAACTGGCACAGAGTGGGCACCACCCAAGCAGAACCCACACTGGTTGAGAACATCTGGAACACTGGTTGGGGTCATCCCAAAGCCTCTCCAAGGGAGGTATCCCTAAAGGCGAGATGATCTCTCCAGAGCATAACCCAAAGCAGTCAAGGGGCGATGTTAACCATACCCATGGGGACAGGTGGCCTCCTATCCCAAGTGTTCAAGACAAACGCCACTCCAGGTTTGTTTATTATTGCTAAAATTGGGCTTTCTTGCATCCTAACCACATAACAGCTCAGAGATAAAGGAGCTTGTTTCTCAGGCAGCAGACCTGGGGATATCTGGGCCCTGAACTGCACATGAGAGGAGAAGGTGTCCTAGATAATAAACCTGTGGATCGGCTGGAGGCCACCCTTGCTTGCTGCATGCTGGGTCACAGAAAGTAACTGCTTGATCATCCTGTAGAGTCCCAGCAAGAGGTGATGGCCAAAGCCTTCTGAAAGGGCCCAGCCCGACGACAGTCTCCAAGGGGGACTCAGAGGGTCCGAGATGTGTTGTTGGCCAAGGCAGATAGCGGTGCTGTGATGTTGGCTGAGTGGATGTTGGCCCAGTCCGGGAAGGTGCCCAGCTGGAAAACGGTCTGTGCCCAAGTATTCATGGCCAAGCTGAGCAGCAGCACGCCCATCAGGTTCATCAGGAGGCCAGTCCGCACCTGAAATGGAGCCCAGAACGACCCTTTGTACAGATGGGAAAACCCAGGCTGAGTTAGGAAGTCATTCGCCCAAGATCTCACAGCAGCTGAGTGATGGAGCCAGGGTGCTATCCTAGGCTGCTCCTCAGAGAACTGCAAATGTCCCATTCATGGAGGGGTTTCCAGGTGTCAGGTACTGCACCATGCAGTTGTCATAGGGATGTCATTTAACCCTGAAAGCAACCCTATGAGGGTTATTATTTTTGTTATTGTTCCCATTTTTTAAATTAAAGTATTGTTAATATACAGTCTTATGTTGCTTTCAAATGTACATCACAGCAGTTCAGCAGTCCCTGTGATCAGCTTACTGTGATTGCAAATTGTGCCCTTTTATCACCCTCCCCCCAACCACCCACCCCAGTTCCTCCCCCTTAGTAACCACCAGCCACTTCTCAGTGTCTATATGAGTCTAATGCGGTTTCGTTCCTTCTGGTTTGCTTTGTTTCCATATTCCACAAATAACTGAAATCATATGGTATTTGTCTTTCTCTGCCTGGCTTATTCCACTGAGCAGAATACCCTCTAGATCCATCCTTGTTGCAAATGGCAGGATTTCTTTTCTTTTTATCGCTGATATTCCCATTTTATAGAAGAAGAAAATGAGGCTCACCTAAGGTTACACTACTTGAAAATAATCTGGTTGGATTATTAAACAATCCACCTCCAGCCACATTCTGTCTGTCTCTGTCTCTCTGCTCACTCTTTCTCTCTCTCTTTCACACACACACACTCACATGCATACACACTACACGTCCATTTAAGACTATATTTGTTTACTGTGAAAAATTTTTCTTCTGGAAATTTTAACCACTTTAAGTAGCTGGAACTTTACGATCCCTCTATCTCCTTCCTGCCAATTGTCCTTTTTAACAAGTAGGGGTTCAGAACCTTTTCTAGGCAACTGTTATTAGGGAGAATTTAATTATCTGGGGTTTTTTTTCTTTGCATTTATTTGTAGACTTACCTTCTATGGCATGCAATAATGGTTTTTCATTTATAGATGCATCAGAAACTTTTCTTTTTAAATACTCTGATTTAAGTATTTTAAAAATGTAAGCTGATTTAGCAAAATTATTAAATAAATCTTATCATAGGTGGTTCATCAAGAGGGCATTAAGTTTTGAAGGGAGGATGCCAAGTGATAAGGTTGGGACGCTTGTGCAGTACTGCCTCTGTCCTAGGGGGTCGTAAAGTCCTGGCTACTTTGGAGGACTGCGAGGAGACTGGCCAAAGCTGTGGGGCAGCTGGGAGGGGCCCGGGCTCCTGGCAGCCTGGCTCAAAATGCCTGCTTAGTCCCACATTCATTACTTTACTTAACACCTGCATCAATACTCTCAGGAACAAAGCCTGCAGGTGGGCGCGTCTGGTCAGGACTGGCTGACTTGGGGCAGGGGGGTCTCTGAAATCTCTGCCTCTGGGTGCCCTTCTACATGTTTCTGCCTTTCTCAGCATCTCTTAGCAAGCTCCCACCTCTTGGAGTCTCTCCATTTCTCTCACTGTATATTCTCAGGATCTATGTTCTGTCTCCATTTCTGCCCCCTCACTGTCTTCTTTAAATAGCCATCCTGCTTCCACACTCATCCCTCCCCACTCAGACAGTCCACTCCACTCAGCAGCCCAAGTGATCTCTTAAAAGCAGAAGTGAAATCACTTTGTTATTCTGCTTAAAACCCTTCAAAAGCTTCCTGTTGTGGTTTGAATAATATCCCAAGTCTGTGCCTTGATCCCTCAGCACACCCGTCCATCCCAAGTATCTAATTCTGCCCTTCAACCTCCTTGCCCTGAGTTCTGCGAACATACAGCACTAGGCCTGGCCTCCGGACCTTTGCACTGGCTGGCTTCTGCTTGGAGTACTCTCTCCCTGTCTTTGAAAGGCTGGCTGCCTCTTGTTACTCAGGTCTCAGCAGTTCATATGCCACCACCTCAGCCTTACCTGCTGCCCATCTATGTGATCCCTCCCCCCATCAGCCTCTTCAGTCCCTTATGCCTTCTTCACTTCAGAGCACCTAGCAATATGGAAATTTACATCATTAAAGAAAAAAAAAATCAGCTTAACTTGTTTACTGTCTGACTCCCTCATAGAAAGTAATCTCCTTGGGGCCAGATCTGCATCTCTGCCACATGGCTGTAACCCCAGTGCCCAGAGCATAGCATCACCCACAAATGCTTGTCAAGGAATGAATGAACATGTGAATCAACATCTGTCTCCCTACATATCTTCTCTCTGTTTGCTCTGTGATTACTTTCTGCCTTTTACTCTTGTTTTTCTTCTCTGTCTCTCCATTTATTTTGCTGATTCTCTCTGTCTGGAAAACCTGCATTGGTTAAGCAGATCACCCTTCTCATCGTACCAGTTTAGGATTTGCGTTCCCTGAGTGCCTACTGTACAAACACCCCAGGCAGCCAGTGGAGGGGGAAGTAGTGGAGGAGGGAGGGGGGCAGGCGTGTGTTCAGCAGGGGAGCAGGGGCGACAGGGGTGACAGTCCATGGCTGAGGCCTGCTGAAAGCTAGAGGGACCGTCACTGCCACAGCCCTCCACTTCTGTCTCACTCCCCAACTGGCTGGGCACGGAGGCCCCCCCGTAAGTCCCACAGTGCGGTCTGCTGTTTCTCTCTTCTGAAGATTCTTGGCATGGAGCAGTTGGCTGAAAAGTCAGACTGGAGAACGCTGCCCAGAGAGTTGGGGAAGTCTCTTGTCCCTGAAGCAAACTTTGGAACATAGTCACTAAGGAGTGTTTCCTGATATTGTCTAAGCATAAGAATCATCCTGGAGTGCTTGCTAAGATGTATACTCCTGGTCCCACTGAGAATGACCTGTTCAGAAGTTGGGGGATGGTAATGGGGTCAGCAGCAGTCCCGCCTAGATGCTTTGCCTCGCACCTGGTGTTCACCTGTCTCTCCGGGCCTCTGCTAGAAAATGCACAGACTCACCATGTCTTTGACCAGCAAATGTCCAGAGGCAAAGGCGATTGAGTTGGGAGGCGTAGAGACTGGCAGCATGAAGGCGTAGGAGCAGCCGACTGTGCCAGGAATCATCAGGTACAGGGGGTGCACTCTCAGGCGGAGGGCCTGGGCCCAGCAGTCGGGGGAGAGACCCAGACACAGGGAAATACAGAGAGACCACAGCAGGTCATGGAGACAGGAGAACAGCACAGACCACACATAGACAGAAATTGGCAGAGTGACAGAGAACAACAGAAACAAATGAGAAGGCAGATTAGGGACACACAAAGAGAAATGCAGCCAGAAACACAGATCCACAGGCAGGAGTAGAGATGGACAGACAAGGAGAGAACCAGAGCAAGGGAGACATGGAGAGAACATCGCCAAGGTTAGTGACTCTCTGGGGCTACACTGCAGGTTCACTGGGGAGGATGGTCTGGGGAGATTTATCTAGAACACTCCTTCTCCAACTTGAGAGTGCATGATAATCACTGGGAGCACTTGTTAACACACAGATTGCTGGCCCCACTTCTGATTCAGCAGGTCTGGGGTGGCCCCAGGTTCCCAGGTGACACTCATGTTGCTGGTCCAGGGACCACATGTTGAGAACCACGGCTCTAAAATAATAAATCCCCTGCCTGGTCCTTCTCTCAGCCTTGAAGTCCAAACAACTAGACTCTGGACACCTTTTGTTGGGGCCTCACTGGACTTCCGAGGCACAGAGGGCTCAAGATCTCCATCTGTGGGCAAGCATTTCCAAATTTCTAAGACTGTGTGGATCAAATGTGTCTTCAGTTTGGCCTAAGTCATTGGGCCATAGGTTTGTCACCTCTGCCAAATGATATATTCACCTACAACTGGTGTCAATCTCCTTGCTACCATTTTATTTAAGAAGCACATTGGGCCCTTCTAGGGATTATTATGTAATCCAAAGCATATGCATTTTCTCAGAAAGTGCTAAATTCATCCTCACCTATGTAAAACCTTTTGATTTTGATGATAAGCAACATTCAGAAGAATGTGTCTATTAAAATCTAAAACTATTGGTTTTTTAATCTATTTAAATATAAACTATATTGATAGTTCTAATGTCAGTCAGATTTGGAATTCCTAGTAGAGGCTCTACTAGATGATGATACATTGTTCTTTCCACGTGATCCTGCATTCATTTTGCCATTTGCATGTCTGCTCACATGTGAGATTGAGTTATGACTTTTTCTCCTTTGCTCTCCTTTAGTTTTGGTGTCAGGGCTTTTGCTAACCTTACACCTGGATTGAATAGCTTTCTCTGTCTTTCTGTGCTCTGAAATAGTTTGGGCATGTTGGGATCTATTTCCTGAAGGTTTGCTAGCTCCCACCTAGCTAACCCTCTGGGGCTGGTGAGTTTTAGAGCAGTGGTCCTCAACTGGGGATGATTTTGCACCCCCCACCCCTAAACATTGGCAAAGTCTGAAGACATTTTTGATTATCAGGATTTAGGGGGCTGCTGCTGGCACCTAGTGGGTGGAGGCCAGGGATGCTGCTAAGCATCTTATAATACACTGGATGGCCCCACGCAACACAGAATTCTCTGGCCCAAAATGTCAAAAATACTGAGAAATTGTGTCTTCAAGGGAGGCTAGAACTTTGCCTACCATTAGAATTTCTTCTATGGTTATTTGTCTACTTGCATATTCTACTTTTTATTCCAAATTTGATCATTTATATTTTCCCAGAAAACTCTAAAGAAGGCGATGACCACAGTGATGAGCAACACAGCCAGCATGGGCGGCACGTTCTCCAGGGGATGCAGCTGCCCACCGATCCATGCCGACAGCCCCGACTCCTGTGGAAGGGAAGAGACAAGGGCGTTCCTTCACAGCCCCACCGCCACCCCGAGGGCTGGGTCCAGTGAGGAGGGTTAAGATCAGCTGCAGCGATGACAGCTATATGCCTTCACTGACAGGGAGACTGAGGTTCAGAGAGGGGAGCGACCTGCCCAGGGTCACATAGTCGAGCCAACTCCAGTTGTCCGCTTCTGGAACTGTTCTCTACTCCATATTCTGCAGGCCTGGGACCTACACCCCTGGATCCCCAAATAATCTCTTTGGTTCTAGTGGCCTCTAAGCTCCAACCTGAGTGGGAGAGGGGAACTGGACCTGCTGTGATAAATCTTTTCATTACTCTAATCATGGGCAATAATTACAAAAATACTAATATAATCATGTGTATAAAATACTCATTATTGATATTTAAGTATTATATGATAATATATTAATATGTATTAAATGTATGATATACATATCATATATAAAACATAACAGACATATGTTAAATACAACCCTATTAATATGATTATCAGTAAAAAGGCATTTATGGTCGATAACAAGGATGATCATTACAATGATAATAACACAAATATTGACATTGTTTACATTTGTATTATCATTCATCAGCATAAGAATCACCATTATTGAGGCTTTGCAGGTTGCCAGGCACTTGCATGCACTGCCTCCTCGACTCCTCCCCACCATCCCATATGGCAGACACTCATCCCTGTGTTACAGAGGAAGAAACTGAGTCTGACAGTTCTTGTGACCTGTCCATGGCTCCCCAAAGTGATGACAGAGATGTATTTCACACTTAGAGTCGTATACTTCTATAAGCTAACATGCTTCTGCAAAATCTCCCTGTCCCCTGGGCACCCTTCTCTGCACATGCTAGTTGTCACTAACCCTGTTAATGTAGAGCAATGCCAAAAGTTGACCACAGCCCTCCAGGACAGAGAATGGACAGGTTAGATTGTCACCTCCCTGACTCCAGACTCAACCCTGCCTGCTATCAATGCTGCAGAATTATCTGCATGCTCTCTCTGCTGACTTGTCCCAGAGTTACTCTGTTTATGAATCTATGCATGTGTACTGCCACCCCCACCCTCCTGCCACCAAATGTATCCTTAATCATCCAGAGTCCAATGCACCTTCAGTATGAGCCCAAAGAGGCAAAGCTGCAGGTACAAAACTGAGCTCGATGCCATCGCATGGTGGTGCTGTGCCGCGATATAGCCATAAACCTACCAGGTCCCATCCTGGAGGTCTTTTTCTTAACAAGATAACAAAGCCACAGGCTTAGATGTTTATCAAAGGCAGAGCTGGGTTGTTCTGCTAACATTTAGAATCAAGTGTATGTCTACCACAGACCTTTATCAACTTGGTATCTGCTGGTACCAATACACTTGGTTTATCAGATAAATTTTATAAATTTATTTTATGTTTAATAGATAAATTAAATAAACTTATTTGTATATAATAAAATAGATAAATTAAATAAGCATATATATAATAAATAAATAAATTTATAAATTAAATAAAATTTACTGCTAATCCAGAATTTAAAGTTTCATAATGGATTCTAGAACATGGTATACTACTTTTACATAAATAAAATAATACATTTGTCCCTAGAATTTGACTTAAAAATTACCTTCAGGAGTGGCATGATATATTTAACATAATGAAACAGAAAGACTCCAACCAAGAATCCTCTACCTGGCAAGATTTTCATTTAAATTTGAAGCAGGGATTAAACAATTTTCAGATAAACAAAAATTGAAAGAATTCACTACTGCTAAGCCAGCCCTACAGGATATGTTAAAAAGATTGGTGTAGATGGAAATGTTCCTAAGGCTAAATAGCTTTCACCAGTGAAAATAAACCCACAATAAAGGTAATAGACCAATTAGTTACCAAGCAAGTACAAAATTAAAAGAAGCAAAATCAACTACTTATAAAATCAATCAAGGGATACACATAAAGTGCAGATTATGATATTTAATACATAAAGTATGGAGGAGAAAGAAGAAGAAGAAGAAAGTACCTTTAGACTGTGTTTGAAAAAGAGTAATCAGCAATTTAAGATAGACTGTTATATAGTAAGGAAGCTATCCTTGAACCTTTGGTAACAACAAAACCAAAGCCTACAACAGATACACAAGTAAAACAAAGAAAGAGGAAGGAAGGAAGGAAGGAAGGAAGGAAGGAAGGAAGGAAGGAAGGAAGGAAGGAAGGAAGGGAAGGAAAGAAGAAAGAAGAAAGAAAGAGAAGAAAGGAAGAGAGAAGAAAGAAAGGAAGAGAGAAGAAAGAAAGGGACTAGAAAGAAAGAAAGAAAGAAAAGAACAGAAAAGAAAGATCCAATCACAACACTAAAGAAATCCATCAAATGAGAGTATAAGAGAGGAAAAAAGGAACAGAGAAGAGATGAAAACAACCAGAAAATAATTAATAAAATAACAATAAGTACATACTTATCCATAATCACCCTAAATGTAAATAGACTGAAAGCACCAATCAAAAGACATAGAGTCACTGAATGGATAAAAAAACAAGACCCATCTATATGCTGCCTACAAGAGACTCATTTCAGACCCAATGGCACTCACAGACTAAAGTGAAGGGATGGAAAAGATATTTCATGCAAATAATAGGAAGAAAAAAGCAGTAGTAGCATTATTATATCAGACAAAATAGATTTTAAACAACGAAAGTAATAAGAGCCAAAGAAGGACATTACATAACAATAAATGGGTCAGTCCAATAAGAGGATATAACCATTATAAATATCTATGCACCCAATATAGGAGCACCTAAATATGTAAAACAAGTTAACAGAATTAAAGAGGGAAATAGACTGTAACACATTCATTTTAAGATACTTTAACATATCACTCACATCAATAGACAGACCAACCAGACAGAAAATAACTGAGGAAACAGAGGCACTGAACAATACATTAGCTCAGATGGACTTAAGAGACATCTACAGAACATATCACCCAAAAGCAGCAGGATACACATGCTTTTCAAGTAGACGTGGAACGTTTCCAGAATAGATCACACACTAGGCCACAAAAAGAGCCTCAATAAATTAAAAAAGAATGAAACTGTATCAAGCAGCTTCTCAAACCACAATGGTATGAAACGAAATAAATTACACAAAGAAAACAATAAAGCCTACAAACACATGGAGGCTAAACAACATACTTCTAAATAATCAATGGATCAATGACCAAATTAAAACAGAGATCAAGCAATATATGGAGACAAATGAAAACAACAAAACAACACCCTAAAATCTGTGGGACGCAGCGAAGGCAGTTCTAAGAGGAAAGTACATAGCAATACAGGCCTACCTCAAAAACCAAGAACGACCCCAAATATGTAGTCTAAACTCACAATTAAAGAAACTAGAAAAAGAAGAACAAATGAAACCCGTAGTTAGTAAAAGGAGGGACACAATAAAGATTCAGCAGAAACACATTAAATAGAGAAGAATAAAACAATAGAAAAAAAATCAATGAAACCAGGAGCTGGTTCTTTGAGAAAATAAACAAAAGAGATAAACTCTTAGCCAGACTTATCATGAAAAAAGGAGAGTGTACACACATAAACAAAATTGAAATGAAGAAGGAATAATTGCAATGGATACCACAGAAATACAAAGAATTATTAGAGAATAGTACAAAAAATATACCAATAAATTGGATAACTTAAAAGAAATGGATAATGTTCTAGAAAAATACAACCTTCCAAGACTGACCCAGGAAGAAACAGAAAATCTGAACAGACCAATTAGCAGCAGTGAAATCAAACTGGTAATCAAAAAAGTACCTAAAAGCAAAACTTCAGGTCTAGATGGCTTCATGGTTGAATTTTATCAAACATTTAAAGAAGAGCTAATACCCAACCTTCTTAAGTATTCCAAAATGTAGAAGAGGAGAGAATACTTCCAAACTCATTCTATGAAGTCAGCATCACTCTAATACCAAAACCAGACAAAGACACCACACAAAAAGATTATATACCAATATCTCTGCTGAACATAGATGCAAAAGTCCTCAACAAAATATTAGCAAACTAATTTTAAAAATATATCAAAAACCTCCATCATGACCAAATGGGATTTATTCCAGGGATGCAAGGATGGTACAATATTTGGAAATCAATCAATATCATACATCACATTAACAAAAAGAAGGACAAAAATCACATGATTATCTCAATAGATTCTGCAAAAGCATTTGACAAAATTCAACATACATTCATGATAAAAACTTAACAAAATGGGTATAGAGGGGATGTACCTCAAAATAATAAAGGCCATATATGACAAACCCACAGCCAACATCATACTTAATAGTGAAAAGTTGAAAGCTTTTCCTCTAAGATCAGAAACAAGACAAGGATGCCCACTCTCACCACTTTTATTCAACATAGTACTGGTGGGCTTAGCCATAGCAATCAGACAACACAAAGAGATAAAAGGCATCCAAATTGGTAAGGAAGAAGTTAAACTCTCACTGCTTGCAGATGACATATTATGCATAGAAAACCATAAAGAATCCACCAAAAAACTATTAGAACTAATAACTGAATTCAGCAAAGTTGTAAGATACAAAATAATACACAGAAATCTGTCTCTTATATTCTTATATAGTCACAACAAACTATCAGAAAAAGAAATCAGGAGAACAACTCCATTTACAATTGCATCACAAAGAATAAAATGCCTATGAATATACCTAACCAAGGAGGTGAAAGACCTTTACTCTAAAAACTATAAGACACTCATGAGAGAAATTAACGAAACACCAATAAATGGAAATCTATCCCATGCTCATGGATAGGAAGAATTAATATTGTCAAAATGGCCAACCTGCCCAAAGCAATTTACAGATTCAATGTAATCCTTATCAAAATACCAACAGCATTCTTTAATGAACTGAAACAAATAGTTCTAAAATTCATATGGAACCACAAAAGGTTCTGAATAGCCAAAGCAATCCTGAGA